TTTGCAAAGCTTCGTGTATAATATCTTTGAACGCGCCCCATATTTCTTCCATACCTTCCTCAGTTCTCAGAAAGCGATTGTATTGTTCCCTAAAAAAATCTTGAAGCCTTTCTACATTTGCTTTCTTGTATTGCCGTACTTTTGTTCCTCTCGTGATACCTTTCCTTGGAATATTTTCGTCTAAGTCAAGCAGAACCGCTTTGTGGTCGCTAATGTCCTCAACAACTTCACAAGATATGAAAAGTTCTTTCGGTCTAATTACGTAGACATCCAAAATTGCATCCTGCCGTGTTCCGCTCCGAACTACCTGAGTTAATCCCCTGTCCCAAACTAGACTGTTCACAAGTGTTTGGACTTTCCCCTCGATCACGGTTCCCTCCCAATTTGCGCTAGGAATATTTAAGTCACCTCCAATAACAATGGGATGGCGATTCTCGTTTCCTGTTTTCTGAATGATGTCATCTAAAATATCGAAACCGTCGCTCGGAGGCCTATAGCATGCAATGATTTCTAATATGGTTCCTGAAGTAATAATTTATATTCCCATCATTTCAAACTCTGTACTGACCCAACCTAATCTAATATCCATGCCTGCTTTGACGCAATTAAAAACTCCGCCCCCTCTACCATTTCTATCCCTCCTGAAGATCTTGTAATGAGAATGAAAAATGTTAGATGACCCGATTTCTTCGGTTAGCCATGACTCAGTCCCTATCACTATGTCGGGATTACAGGCAACAACTAGATTTCAAAACTCTATTTCTTTATTGATTATGCTCGAGCAGTTTACCTGCAACAACTTTAAGAACCCTTTCCTCAGCTGAATGTATTCTCGAGAAGACTCGTCCTTCGTCTCCGCCGCCGTCGTCGCCGTCGTCGTCGCCGACGCCTCGTCTCTGCCGCCGCCGCCGCTGTGCACCGCACCGGCGTGATGTTCACGTGCCGTTCTCGTCTCCTCGCTGTCGTCCTTGCGCTCTGAGTAGTCTCAACGTCGTCTTCATCCCGCGCTACCAAAGTCGTTTCCGCCCGTTACCACCGCAACCGCCTCTGTTTCGCTGAAGTCCTGCTTTATCGACTCGTTCACGCCCGTTGCCGCAGCCTCTGCTCCGACGACGAATTCTGGAGTTGACGAATACTCCTCGATTTTCCTTTCACAGTTGCCCTAATCTCTTCATTTCGATCCTCTCTCGCTACTGTCTCAGTTGCTTCACCCCACCCACAATTTACTGTCGCTGCTGCGACCACCGCTGAGGAACCTCAACCGTGCAATCGGGGTTTGGCCTCGCAAACTCTAGAGAACAGGCACCCAAGATTTTTTGCAGCCTTCCAATTTAGTTGCAGCCCGTCTCTGCCAAAATCGCTGTGGCGACCAAAAGCCTCACGCGGGCCATCACGAATCCAGGAATTTGCGTCTACGAATGTCACATCAAGACGCTCCACCACCCACTCGTATATACCATTAATTTCCGCAATGTACGCCAGAAGATGTCTTTTCTTCTCACTATACCACTTAGCACAGTCTTAGCTGCGGGAAATTTCTTTTGCGCCGCCGCGACAAATTCGTAAACATCGCGCATAATGGTCTTCCTATTTCCTTTTAAGTTGGTTGTTCCTACATGAAGAACAACAGTTTCAGCTGTACCCAGGTCTTTTCTTTCGATATATCTTCTTAATTGATGGACACGAATACC